CATTGATATATATTTTATTCATTAATTATTTTATTAATATTTTTATTATCAATTTCTAGATGTATATTCGCATGTGACAGTGCATCAAAATATGCACAATATGAACTTTGTACCCCCTTGTATGTATGTATGTATGTTCCTTTTTTTTCTCTCCACTTTGTATGGCAGTCGTCATGGTCATAGATGACCGGCGCCATGGTCACATTATTCCTTCCTTCCCATTTGTTTGACCTATCAGTTAGGTGGTCACTTGGAGGGGGAGGAGTCTCTTTGGCTTTTCACATGATCTTCTCAAATGGCCTCACATTTTATCCTGCTCCCATATATAGGCTTCAAACATGTCTAGTTGTTTTTGCTCTGAGGAAAGAAGTTTGTCTCCCAAAACGCGTTAGATTACCCTGCCGCAAGACCACCATTTGCTGGAATTGTTACATTGGTTCCTTGTTTGTTTACATGACTCTTGGTTTGTGAGTATATACTTTTGTCAATTTTCAATAAATTATTTTTTATCATGGTATGCACGAGGAGTGTGCACCCTTTTTTGCTTTCTTCCAGTCCTGGAACTGAGATGTAGGTTCTTCATCCCCAGACAGCAGGAGGATGAAAGCCCACTTTACGGTAGCCTTCCAAAATCTGTGAAATGCCTGGAGAAGAAGTAGTATGTGCATGGCTATGCTGAAATAAGCATCTCAGAAGAGTAACTGAGAGATCAGTTTGTGGTGGGGATGGAGGCAGGTCCTCTTAGGAGGGCTCAGTTAGGAGAGCACTGTAAGAACAATTAAATGTGCAACCCTCCCTCACTTGCAATGACACTGTAGTGGATGTGGTTGCATGAGAGGAGGAGGATGCTGAAGCCACCGTGGCCACATGAACCATTACACTTAAGGCAGGAAGCCTTGGCACCGCCCCTCCCCATCTGCATTTCAGACCGCCAGACAGAGAACTAACTCAGAACATGGCATCCATGAGGCAAGAAATGTCCACTTTCAAGCAGGAGCTGGCTCACCTACCAAAGGGCGGGAACCTGCTGCAGAGGGACCTGGGTGAAAACTGCAAATGCTGGTGGTGGAGGCACTCTTGGTATCTAACCAGGAACTGTAGCTGATCTGAAAATGAGCACGAGGAGGCCAGAGGCTCCTGGGGCATTGGGACGACCCCCAGGAATGAAAATACAAAGTCCCAAAAGGCCAGAGGCTATGGTTCTGCCAAGTCCAGTTGTTAACATCCTAGTAAATGGCCAAATGGTCCCATGTTTATTTGCCACTGGGTCAGGAGTCACCGTACTATGTTCAGCAGTTCGGGACACGAGACCAGTTTGATGCCTCCTGGCTGTCCCTGAAGGCAGCCAATAATCTACCCATCATAGTGGAAGGAGTTGCCTGGGTGCAGATACAGATATATGACCATGTGGTGGAGCGGGTCGGGGTTATGATGACCCGCAGTGCAGTACATTCAGCAGTGCCTATCGTTTTGGACAAGAACATCCTGAAGGACACGGAAATCTTGGTTGTGAGATTCAATAAAATCAACATTCTTTTTTTACAAAATTAGAAAAAATAAATATGAATACATATATAAGCAAATTGATAAAGGCTTCTCTCTGCCTATAACCCAAAAAAGGCTTGCATCAGCAAAAAAATAAAGCTTCCGGCCTATAACAGCAGCCAAACACAATGACTCATATGTAGGTAAGAAATTTTCTTATCTCTCATTACAAATCATAAGGATGCGATTCAAAGTACTTAGCATGACTGAGACATAAATATACCTTAAGCATGAATATACCACAGCATCGGTTCCTTTTTGCTGTTCTTCTGTTGATCTTTTTGTGACCCTACTGTATTACTTTGGAGGCAGGAGAAATTTAACAGTTCCATCCCACCCTGAAAGCACCCAATAAATATACTCTTCCTGCCCCCCCCCCACTACTCAGATATTCAATAATTTACACCTGGAACATGAGCAATAACAGAAACTTTAAGTGTCCTGCAGCAACCCATGGCAACTCATCATCTCCAACCGTGCCTAAAGTACAGAACCATTTCGTCTCTGTGCGCTATTTTATCCCCACTAGGGTCTCAGATCCAGCTTTTCAGTTGTACCTGTGGGGGGGCCTTTAGATGACAGATATCTCAGGGTCTCAGGATCTCCCAAGAATGGTGCCTTGGTGAGGGGGGGAATCTCCTCTGGTGCCACCTTTTCAGCCACAGAGCCTCACCACTCTCCCAGGCTTCTGGGTACAATCACATGGGTAGTCACCAGCGTCCCCCTCTCCTCGTATACCGCCGCCTCTTGCTCCCAGACGGCTAGAGTCTTGTGCTTTCACACCGTCCCCTTCCGGCTCCCTCCAGCCTGCCAATGTCTCAGCTCCAACACCCCGGTGCCTCACCCAACTGGCCTGGGTCTCCGGCCGCCGTGAGGGCTCATGATCCAGGAAGGACCTGTGGATACTCGCCGCTACACAGGGCAGAACTTCAGGTAAGGGTCTCGGCAAATTAGAGTCCGTACAGCACAAGGTCTAGGCAGCACCCATTCAATCCATTGGTGGGTGTCTGGATCTTCTGCTACATGCAGCCTCACAGAGCCATGATCAGGCCCCTCCCCCCGAGGAGATATTTCTTTTGACCTTGATCGATGGAGTGGGTGCAATGGGCTTGACAAAAGTTTGCAGTCTGCTCCATGCACAAGGTCGCCCCCAGAAAAGACCACCCCAATGACTATCGCCACCTCAGAACCCTGCAAGCGGGTGACGATGGACTTTGTTTCAGTTTACAGCTCCCATTCTGGGTTTTGCTATGCCCTAGTCTTTGTGGATCATTTCACAAAGTTTGCTGTGGCAGTGGTGTTGGACTCCTCAGAATGATCCACTTCCCACATGCCCAGCTAGTGGATACAGGAGCATGGGGACCAGTTGAGAAAAGTTAAGCAAATAATACTACACAGGCATCAGGACTTGAAAGAGGATACTATCGAAGATGAACTGCTACTGCGACTGGGAGACCAAGTGCTGGTAAAGAATCTGAAATGTGAAAGTGGCAATGAGCTGGAGTCCAACTGGGAACGGACCCCTTATAGGGTAGTTACAACCATTCCCACTGACCTCTGTTTACGACTTGGTCTCAGAAGGCCCTGAATCAAAACACAGCTCCACCACAATCTGCTGAGACTCTGCGGTCCTGAGCGGGGACTGTTCTGCTAAACCTCGTCACATGCCTGATGAAGGGGCCCTGCGAGCCTCCGAAAAGTTGCCTTGCTGTAACTATGTGATCGTTCATTAAAACCTTTGGACCCATATTGGTGATCCTCTGTGCTGGCGACATTCTCCCCTTGCCGTTCTGCTAAACCTGCCACAGACAAAAAGGGACAGCAAACCTGAGGATGTACCACCAATCCAGGAAGTCCCCTCCGAGTGGTATCTGCCTCCCATTGAATCTGGGCCTCTAGCCCCAGCTGATCCTGAGGAGGAGAGAGCCACCAAGACATCTACAAAACAGTCCTGCGGTACTGTTCCTGGAGGCTGCTTCTCTGAACTCTTCCGAGGATGCTGCCTCCAGCTCGGGTGAAGGAGGTGTAGCTGGTCCTGCTGACCCCCAACCACCTGAGACTACGGAGCCCCGAATAGGAAGTGACAGTTCTGAAGACCCCCATAGAGGACAACGAGGGTTGCTGCCCAATGCCAGCCAACCACATGCAATTCCCTGCGAAGTATTCTGATTATGTTGTTTGAAGTGCTACTGTTGTTGTCATAATTATGTTTTTTGCAGTTATGTGTTGTTCTTAACTGTGTTCTGATGTAGACAGCATCTGTCAAAGGGGAGAGAGTGAGTGTAGGCAGATGCAGTCTGTGCTCCCCACTGCAGCTGGCAATGCAGAAGGAGAAGGAGGTTGTGAGGAACTTGGTTCCTCTATGACTTTCTGTGGTCACAGGGGACAGCTGTCAGATTGGATTCTGGAGACCCATGTGACCTCAGCAGCCATCTTGGGTCAGGCAGAGTCTATTTCAGACTCTGGATTCTGAGTTTATGCAAGTGGCTAGTGTAGAGACAGGTTCCCAGTCTGAGAGGGACAGTGCAGGGGTTACATCTAGCTTCTTTCAGGAGGCCTTGCATTTTTGGGTGTGGACCGGTCAGTCCACATTACGCTCCTGGTTGCAAATACTGTCAGCATCTACTAAGTCTACAGACAGCTGTTAAAGCTCGTAAGTTGCTCTGGATGGGCGTGCCAACCCACCGGGCCTAGTTGAGTTGTGTTGGACCTTTCCACAATAGATCGCTTTTGCCTAACTTTCACTCTGTGTTTACTGTCACAAGCATGTGTAGGAGAGGAATACAGAGGGAATGATGGTGGGCAATTCAATGAGGGTATGAAAGCAAGTGGCACGTGTAGGAGAGAAGTGCAGATGACTGACAGCAGGATGACTCTGCCCCTCCCAGGTGCATTAAAGCACCAGAGGATGCACTGTAGTTGAATGCCCCAGTGTACAGGGGCCTTGAGGGGTGGAGAGTGGAGTAGGGTAACATCTAGGGAGACATATGTCAGCAGGAAGGGGGTGAATAAGTGATTTAGTGGCCTCTGAATCCACAGAGGCATAAATTGAAGCATGATGCAGCAATACACAGTATCAGTGCCTACTCCCTCACGCAGACTCAGCCAGCTTCCTTGCACACTCTCACCCCTTCTCTCAACCTTCCTGTAGGTCCAGTCTGATATCCCCAGACACTCACTCCCTGGGATCTCAGGACTTAAACCGAGACAAAGCAGTCACAAGACACCTAAATAAAAGACAGGACTGTCCTGGCAAATTCAGGACAGTTTGCAAGTATGCATAAACAAAAAGATTATAGTACATTATGAGTCATGCTGGTGGTATTTTGTGGTCATCCTGTGTATGGGGACATCACCATCTCTACATACAGATGACAATATTGGAGTGTCTACTCCATTCTTTCCTGGGGGAGAAATTAATTTTCTTCTGGTAACATTCTTCTCTTCTTCTACAGATTGCCCTACAATCACCTTACTGACAGTTCCTGCTCCCATCTGGCAATTGGAATAAGAAAGAACCAGACACTGAGGACACTGAACCTGTCTGAGAACAATCTGGAGGGTCCTCATTTCAGTGATCTGATGGCAGTTCTGACAACAAGCCAGATAGAGGAAATACAGTGAGTATAACAGGACTGACTGAGACAATAATATTCTGGGACCGTTTGACATTTAACAACATAAAATGAAAATATATTATAATATAAACTCTCCATTAAATAATCAATCCCAAACTGAAATTAAAAACCATAAATAGTCAATCGGAAATTTGGTCTTTCCTGGATCAAAGCGAGTAGCCAAGATCTTAGTAAATATCTTCATGTCAATATTGATGAGAGAGATAGGCCTATAATTTGCCCAGGAAGAGTGATCTCGGTCCGGTTTAGGGATCATAACCACATTAGCAGTTAAAGCATCCGGGGAAAAATTTGAACCTCCCTTCACTGCATTAAACATAGCGGCGAGGTGAGGAGCGATAACATCAGCTAACTTCTTATAATATAGTGCCGTGTATCCATCATGACCTGGGCGCTTACCCGTTTTCAGGTCCGCTATGCATTGCAAAACCTCAGATACTTGAATATTACGGTCCATCAAGTCCCTATGAGCCGACGTTAAGGTTGGCAGGGGCAGACGAGATAAGAATTCAGAAATAGACTGAGGATCAGCCCGGGTGGGATCAGAGTAGAGTTTAGCTAGTCGAAACCGGAATTCTTCCAAAACCGCTACAGGATTGCTCGCCACAGCATTTCAATGGGGTTGAGGTCAGGACTCTGACTGGGCCACTCCAGAAGGCGTATTCTGTGCTGTTGCAGCCATTGTTTTGTTGAATTACTTGTATGCTTTGGGTCATTGTCCTGTTGCATCACCCATCCTCTGCGGAGCTTCAGTTGGCGGACAGATGGTCGTACGTTTTCCTGCAAAATGTCTTGATAAACTCTGGAATTCATTTTCCCATCAATGACAACAATCCGTCCAGGCCCTGAGGCAGCAAAGCAGCCCCAAACCATGATGCTCCCTCCGCCATGTTTTACAGTGGGGATGAGGTTTTGATGTTGGTGTGCTGTGCCTTTTTTTCTCCACACATAGTGTTGTGTGTTCTTCCCAAACAACTCAATCTTGGTTTCATCTGTCCATAGTATATTTTGCCAGTAGTGCTGTGGAACATCCAGGTGCTCTTTTGCAAACTTCAAACGTGCTGCAATATTCTTTTTGGACAGCAAAGGCTTCCTCCGTGGTGTCCTCCCATGTACTCCATTCTTGTTTAATGGTTTCCTTATTGTAGATGTGTCAACAAAAATGTTAGCATGTGCCAGAGATTTCTGTAGGTCTTTAGCTGACACTCTGGGATTCTTCTTTACCTCATGCAGCATTCTGCGCTGTGCTCTTGCAGTCATTTTTACAGGATGACCAGGCCTAGGGAGAGTAGCAACAGTGCTAAACTTTCTCCATTTGTAGACAGTCTGTCTTACCGTGGAAACATGAACATCAAGGCTTTTAGAGATATTTTTGTAACCCTTTCCAGCTTCATGCAAGTCAACAATTCTTGATCGTAGGTCTTCTGAGAGCTCTTTTCTGCGAGGCATGGTTCACATCAGACAGGGCTTCTTGAAACCAGTAAACCCAAAACAGGTGTGTGTTTTTTAAGGGCAGGACAGCAGTCAGCAACACATCCAATATCATCACACTGATTGGAGTCAAGGTTGGCTCACTCCTGGCTCCAATTAGCTCTGGGAGAGGTCATTAAGCTAGGGCCTCACATACTTTTTCCTCCCTGCACTGTGAATGTTTACATGTTATGTGCAATTAAACCATGGCAACAGCTAATGTTTGTGTAGTATTATGTTCAGCAGACTGTGTTCTTCAATTGTTGTGACTTAGATGACGTTCAGAGCACATTTTATGCCCAATTCATGCAAAACTCCACGTAATCCCAAGGGGTTCACATACTTTTTCTTGCAACTGTATACCTAAACCCCAAGGCTCTTCTTTTTTAGTGAACTCTCTAGGGGAATCAAAAATTATTCAGACCAATTTATATCAATTTGTAACCAAAACCCAGATGGACAGAGCACCCTAGATGAATTGGAGGTTCTATCTTTAGGTTTAGGGTTTTGTCCTGACCAAAATTTTGATAGTTTTGAGGTGATTAAAGATATTCACCTTTTCTCTAGATGGTTACTCTTGAAGTACTACATGCCAAAAATACCGGACGTAAGGACTTCCTGTCCGATTTTGACTTTTCCAAGTATAAAAGATGAGACTTTAAGGCTTTAAATGAACTGATCGACCTGCTGGAGGAGGGTGATAATTCGGATTTTGTGGACGATATAGATACATGGGATTTAGATGCCCTTCTTGCTTCGGCCAACTGGTGCGATTAATTTTCCTCTACAAAATAGTTTTTCAAATAAATATGATACTTTTCCATCTTTATCCTTGAATGGTAATATTTTTGCCTTTGTACAACAAACTACAAGGGAAATTGCCGACCTCTCCTCCACCACGCCCGTCAGTTCAAACTTTAATAAGACTCATCAATTAGCATTAAATAAATTGAAAAGCAGAAAAGAATTAGTCATCAAGCCTTACCATAAAAGGGGTAATGTAGTAATGTCTTGTGACCAATATAGATCCATGTGCTATCATATTCTACAAAATTCCAAATGGCATAAGAAAGTTCTTCTTTGGTAAATAGGGAAAGCAAATACATCCTATTTTTGGATTATCAACAGCGCTTTAGATATTTCTGTCATCCCCCAAAACACCTGGGAATTTCTCAATGCCAAATGGCCAAGCCTTCCCACGTTTTATGACTTGCCTAAGATTCATAAAAACATTCAAAAACCTCCAGGCAGACATATTATTTCAGGCTGGGGAGGACTCATAGAAAATGTCAGTACTCTTGTTGACATTCACCTTAGACCCCATGTTACAAGTCTACCATCTTATACCAAACATACAATCCATCTTTTACAAGTTATTGAAGATCTTGAGGTCCCGGCTAATACACTTTTGGTAGCTCTGGATGTCAGAGCTCTTTATAGCAGTATACCGCACAAGAAAGGTAATGTCCATTTTGAATATAATGCTTTTATACTATCACTTTTGTAATATTTCTGTAATATCTGAATAACAACTTTTTCTCTTTTTCTGGTTCTTATTTTCTTCAAGGTGTAGCCATGGGAACTTCATGTGCTCCATTCTATGCTTATCTGGGGGGGGGGGGGGGGGGGGGGGGGGGGGGGAAGCAACGTTTTGCTGCTGAATCTCTCTCAATGTACCTGTGCCATATCCTCTCATGGCTCAGGTACATTGATGAGATTTTCATATTATGGGATGGAACTAAAGATCTTCTGGATGCATTTCTTCGACATATTAGTACTAATGATTTTAATCTTTCTTTCTCTATGACGTGATTTCCAACATATTTCCTTCCTAGATGTTGAGGTATTCATCAGGTAGGATCATACTTTGGGTTCTACTGTTTTTTGAAAAACCACAGCCGGTAACACCATATGCCGGGCCAATAGTGGACATCCGCACAGCCTGATTAGATCGATACCTTATAGCCAATATTTATGGCTAAAACGTAATTGTTAAAATTTTGAAGACTTTAAAAACGTGAGGTTGACGCTTTAAGATTACGTCTACTGGCACGTGGATATTCCAACAACATGCTTAAAAAAGCTTATTCTCGGGCTAATAAACATCCACGTATAGATCTAATCTTTAAAGCCTCCAAACCTGAGGCTACTCCTAGTGCCACTACTAGACTAGTTATGACTTACAACAATCAACAACAACCTATTCGCCATATTGTCAGCAAATATTGGTATTTGCTGAACGCAGGTCCCAATGTAGCAACGTTTTTAGAGAAATACCCTGAAATTACCTAACGCAGAAACAGATCTATCAGATATGAACTAGTTCAGAGTCATTTTGTTAGACCATCCAAATCAATTACTCACACTTATAAAGTGACATATATCTGTGGTAGTTGTGCCTATTGCCAATATATTTCCCAAGGTCGCAATCATACCTTACCGAATGGAAACATCTGTAGGGAACGATATTATACTAATTGCCAGATGGCAGGTGTGGTGTACATGAAGATATGTACATGTGGGAGTTTTGATATTGGTAAAACTAAAAAATGTTTCTGGAAAAGGATCTATGATCATGTTTCTGCCAGTCAGGTGACATCTCGTCCCCTATAGGAAGGCATGGCACCTGGCATCATGCAAAAACGCTTTAAATGCGTTAAATTTGTTGCCCTTGAACAAGTCCCTTTAATTCCGAGAGGTGGTGACTGGGATCGTATTATACTCCAGAAGGAGGCTTGATGGATACAGTGGGGCAAAAAAGTATTTAGTCAGCCACCAGTTGTGCAAGTTCTCCCACTTAAAAAGATGAGAGAGGCCTGTAATTGGCATCATAGGTAGACCTCAACTATGAGACAAAATGAGAAAAAAAAATCCAGACAATCACATTGACTGATTTGGAAAGAATTTCTTTGCAAATTATGGTGGAAAATAAGTATTTGGTCAATATCAAAAGTTCATCTCAGTACTTTGTTATATATCCTTTGTTGGCAATAACAGAGGTCAAACATTTCCTGTAAGTCTTCACAAGGTTGGCACACACTGTTGCTGGCATGTTGGCCCATTCCTCCATGCAGATCTCCTCTAGAGCAGTGATGTTTTGGGGCTGTCGCTGGGCAGCATGGACTTTCAACTCCCTCCAAAGGTTTTCTGTGGGGTTGAGATGTGGAGACTGGCTAGGCCACTCCAGGACCTTGAAATGCTTCTTACGAAGCCACTCCTTCATTGCCCGGGCGGTATGTTTGGGATCATTGTCATATTGGAAGACCCAGCCACGTTTCATCTTCAATGCCTTAGCTGATGGAAGGAGGTTTGCACTCAAAATCTCACGGTACATGGCCCCATTCATTCTGTCCTGTACATGGATCAGTCGTCCTGGTCCCTTTGCGGAAAAACAGCCCCAAAGCATGATGTTGCCACCCCCATGCTTCACAGTAGGTATGGTGTTCTTTGGATGCAACTCAGCATTCTCTCTCCTCCAAACACGACGAGTTGTGTTTCTACCAAACAGTTCT